TAAAGACACACTAGAGGACACAAAAAGGACAAAACAACTAACTAAGGAACATGAAAAGTCCAAAAAGACACACTAGAGGACACAAAAATGACAAAGATACGTAAGGAGACAAGCAGTCTAGAAAGACGAACGACATGTACAGGCTAAAAGGACACAATGAAAGACCAAAAAAGGAGAACAAACATTTAAAGAGAACAGGACACGGAAAAGACGAGGTAGGAGGAGACAAAGTCTTCTGAACAAAGGTCTTGAAGGACATGACGAGACGTCCATTTTTAACGAGATAAAACGTTGGAAATCTAAAATTAAAACTCAGATTAGAGTTTGTGTGGTCTGATAATTCACATTCTGGACTTTAGTCCCAGACCGAGCCCAACTAAAAACCAGAACCAGAACGGCTCGGTCCTTCTTGGTCCAGAGTAGAGACGGGAGCAGGAAGCCTTGACCTTTGACCCCACAACAGATTAAGGTTTTCCAGGCGCCACAGACCCCCACAAACCTCCCAGGTGCTGAAAATTACCCCCTCTGCTCAGACAGACTTAACCACTGCAGAAAACTCTCCGTTAAAAAGCCACAATTTACTCCACAGCCCGGTTTTAACCCGACAACTATTAAAAATGGATTTTAGACGTAAAACGTTGAATTTAGTTTAAATCACGGATTCATTAGATTTTCACACAAAACGTTTAAACTGACTCAGAACTTCAAATATTAATATATAGAGTAATTTCCTTAAACGTGGACAGCTGGATGAAGTTTTCTGTAATTTAAACAAACTTTTGGGGCAAACAGGGGTGGGGGGGCAGAACGATAATTTCGCTGTGAGAAGAGCCACCCACACGGAGCGGCGATGATTTGAGATGCCTTCCAGATGTTTTTAGATTCTGACGATGGGAGACGTGTCCAAACGAGCAGGTAAGAAAATTTTAAAAAGCATCAAGGAGGCGTTTTATAAACGGAGGACGACCGTTTCTTTTACGGCCTTCACCGTTTCTACAGAACAAAACTGTAAAAATAAAATCTAAACTTTAAGCACGGCCATGGAAGTTTTATGATACGGGCTCGTCTGCAGTCACAGAACCTGGGCTGAGTCAGTAATAAAGCAAAAGCATCCAAAGACTAAAGGCTAAATGTAGCAGAAGTACCAAAGGGCTAACTAAAAGTCATGGAGCAATAGCTAAACATAATGGCAAAAAAGGCTAGCTAAAAGTAGCACAAAAATAGGTAAAAAAATAACAAAAGTGTAGGTAAAGACATTGAAATTCTAGCTAAAATTTAAAAAAAAAAAACTAAGTTAAAGCTGCAAAAGTCTAGCTAGAAACTACAATAAAACTAAATTACGTAAAAGGGAGCTAAAATCCTCAAAAAGCTAGCTAAACGCAGCAAAATGCGAGCTAAAAGCATCCAAAAACTACAAGAAAGAAGAAAGGCTAGCAAAAATAAACACAAGTAACAAAAGGCTAGCTATAAACAGCAATAGGATGGTGGTTCCCAGCTCTCTTTAATTATCAAAAAGCTAGCTAAAAGAAGCACAAGTAACAAAAGGCTAGCTATAAATAGTAACATGTTAGCTATAAATAATAAAAGGCAAGCTATAAGCATCAAAATGCTAATTTAAAGTAGCAGAATAGCTAAACCTAAAAACGTTTAGTTAAAATAATCAGAAAGCAAGCTAAAAGCAGCAAAACGATTGCTAAAATTAACAAAACGCTAGCTACAAAAAGCAGAACGATAGCTAAAAAGTATCAAAAATCTAGCAAAATGCCAGAATAGGCTAACTGTATCACAAGTAACAAAGGCTAGCTATATAAATAGTAACATGTTAGCTATAAATAGTAACATGGTAGCTATAAATGGTAAAAAGCAAGCTATCCAAAATGCTAACTTAAAGTAGTAGAATAATAGTTAAACCTAACAAAAGGTTAGCTAAAACCATCAGAAAGCAAGCTAAATGCACCAGAATGATTGCTAAAATTAACGAAACGCTAGCTACAAGAAGCAGAACGATAGCTAAAAGTATTAAAAATCTAGCAAAATGCCAGAATAGGCTAACTAAAAGTACCACAAAAAACAAAGGCTAGCTATAACCAGTAACATCTTAGCTATAAATAGTAAAAGCTATGCATCACAATGCTAACTTAAAGTAGCAGAATAATAGCTAAATCTAACAAAGTTAGCTAAAAGCAGCAGAATGATCGCTAAAATTAACAAAACACTAGCTACAAGAAGCAGAACGATAGCTAAAAGTATTAAAAATCTAGCAAAATACCAGAATAGGCTAACTAAAAGTACCACAAAAAACAAAGGCTAGCTATAACCAGTAACATCTTAGCTATAAATAGTAAAAGCTATGCATCACAATGCTAACTTAAAGTAGCAGAATAATAGCTAAACCTAACAAAAAGTTAGCTAAAAACAGCAGAATAATCGCTAAAATTAACAAAACGCTAGCTACAAGAAGAAGAACGATAGCGAAAAGTATTACAAATCTAGCAAAATGCCAGAATAGGCTAACTAAAAATAGTACAAGAAACAAAAGGCCAGCTAAAAGTTAAGTAGCGCAAGAAGCAAAAGGCTACATAAGTATTGGAATAGTAGCCAAAAGCAGCCAAATGCTAGCTAAAAGCAGCAGAAAGTTAGCTAACAAGGTTTAAGTAGCATAAGAAGACAAAGCAGATGTTTTAAATAACATTTTTGATGGAATTGAACAAATTTGAGCGTCCACTGAAAAATATTTGTGACCAATGTTCATTTTGATACAAAAAACAAAAGTCATAGCCCCATATTCTCCCAAACGAGCCGAACGTTGTGATACAAGAATGTCTAAAACAGTGAGCAGAAGTGAGGTGTGTTCAGACAGTGACGGCAGAACTTCAAGATTTTAGACCTGAAGGAGGTGAACCTAACCCCGACGCAGAGCAGCCGGGAGACGCATCACGAGGATGACCGGCCTTTCTAACGCCTCCCATTAGAGGATACTGACTTCCTTTGTGCTCCAGAGCGGAAGACCACCGTCCTCATAGAGCAACAGGAAGTACCTCGTGGGCTCTCGGAATCAGCGCCTTCAAATTACGAGAGGCCCTGAAACTCCAGCAGAAGTGTCTGACGGAGGGAATCTATGGAGACCGTGTTGAACGGGGTGTACCCATTACGTATTACCCATACGCTACCTGGTTTTGTTGCAGAACATTGTCAGTGCGGTGTAAAAAAGAAATCTTCAGAAACAATCCGACTTTATCATCACCGTGAGGCTGAAAGGCGGTTTACTTATGATTTAAAAACAACTTCTACGGGGTAAAAAAAAAAACAGAGGATGAATATTCCGAAAACGAAAAACACCCCGAGGCTCAGGAAATTACTTTTTCGAAGGCTCAGACGGTGGAATGTGTCGAAACATGCAAATATCTCGGTGCAGTCATTGACATTAAACTGACCTTTGGGGCGAACTGGGAAGAGAGAAAGCGCGCTATCAGCCGAGCCAAGCTTTCATGTCTGTTAGCAAAATATCTCATAAACAAATCAACTAATTAAAACAAACCTTTCAGGAAATAATCACCGGATTCACGTTTAACTTTCAGAGTCGGCTCAATTCAGAGTTGAGTTCAGAGTCGGCTCATTAACTCTTAATGAAACACGGTTTGGTACGAACACGGCTCTGGTGCGATGCGGGAATCCTCCGAGGGACAAGTGTAATGTTTGAGTCCCGACGCAGATAAAATGTGAACCGAGGTGCTTCAGAGCCCCGTACGTCTGCTGTGGGTTCTTTTGAGCTGTGTTCACTCGAAACACACGTTTCAATGTAAATATTTGAATGTTGTAGCAATCCCAGGAGGGACGTGATGCTTTCAGACTTGGGCAAGGTGCAACAGAGCCTTTTGGACCCCCCCACCGTCATGGAGCAAAGTAGGGGAATTGGGAATACCCTCTTTCCGTATCTATCCGTCCACCTGTCTGAGTTGTGAGCACGATAACTTGAAAAATTAATGAAGTACAAACTTCCATTTAGGTTTGTGGCTGCATTGTGGCGCAAGAAAGATTCCCTTCGAAAATTGGGTTGCCATGTCAAAATCCAAGATGGCTACAAATATATATACATATGTATATATATATATACATGTGTATATATACACATATATATACATATATACATGTGTATATATACACATATACATATACATGTGTATATATACACATATACATATACATGTGTATATATACACATATACATATACATGTGTATATATACACATATACATATA